ACTTTAAAATATGTTTTACTTTATCAGCTAAGAAGTAGAATGGCATTAGGTACTTTAAAGAAGCAAGCAGCTTTTTATATATTTTTTTAAGTTAAAAAAGTAAAAATAAATTTCTTCTTGGTCATTTCATTATACTGAAAAAAATTTTAGGTACATTTTTTAATCTGACATTTAAAGATAACTTTATCTTACTACTTTGAGCACAACCTTTTTTCATTTTAGTTTTCCTTAGGAAAATCTTTTAGTACCTGCTGCCCATGTGCTCATAGTGATACCATAGTGCAATCTTTTTTAAGTTTATATTTAGTTACTGTCTCTTTCCTTAGTCTCAGGTATAACTTCTAGATATGATCATTAAATGAAGAATGTTCCTAAAAATTGGAGTAAATGAACTTTGAGCAAAGAAACCACTTTTAGACAAACTGTTAGCTTTAGTGCACAGATAGATTTTTTTGTCTTCTCAGAGATTTTTTTTTCTTGTACAATTTTTAGATTTCTCTGTTCAATATAGCAGCAATTTTACATTTTATAAATACCTATATTAAATCTGCATTTGCAGGAATAGGTATATAATTCCATTTTAACAAGTCTGAAGCAGCATAAAACTTGCTTTATTATATCTAAATATTAACCAAATTTGTTCTTGAAGTATGTAAAAAGGTTGTACCTTATCAATGATAATAGCACTTATATTCTATTACAAAATTAGAAGTTAAGGACAGAGTGCTAATTCAGGAATAATATTCCATTAGATTACTAGGAGAAAATAAACTATCTTTATGACCATGGATTTAGGGAAGATGTTCTTAAGACCAAAAAGCACTAACTGTTAAAGAACAGGATTGCTAGATTTGACTACATTAAAAATTGAGTTGTTCATCAAAAGATATTGTGCAGAAAATAAAAAGACAAGCCACAGAATGGGGAGATATTGTAATGAATATAGCTAGTGAAGGACCAGTAGGGGGAATACATCATGAATTCTTGCATAGTTCAGTAAGAAAAAGATAGACAATGAGTTTTTTAAAAACTCATTGGACAAAGGATCTGAAGACGTTCTTCACAAAAACATTGAAATGTCCAAGTAACATGTGAGAACATTAAAGAATAGTGCTCAACATTGTTAGTAATCAGGGGCATGCAAAGTAAAACCTTATTGATATGCCCTTATAAACAGATACATACCTAGCAGATTGGCAAAAAAATATTAAAAATTAATATCAATGTTACCATGGATATGGAGAAAGAACTCTTACACACTGCTAGTGGAAAAATAAACAAATTGGCAAACAATTTGGTATCCTTAGAGTTGAAGACACACATATAATGTAGGAATTCTGCTATTAGGTTTAAAACTTAGAGAAACTCGTGGATATATATGTCTACTAGCATACATTTCCAAGAATAATTATTAAATGGTGTAGCACCATTGTTTAAAAGAGGGACAAATTGGGAACAACCCAAATCTGTTTGCTATCAACGACAGATGGATAAATAATGATAGTCATGGAGTGGAATTCTAATCAGCAGTGAAAATGAATGAAATACCTGCTGTGACATGCTGATAATAATTAATTCTAAAAGCCAAGATAGTTAGTTTTGAGGAGAAGAGTAGATGGTAATCAAGAATGGTGCTGCTGGAGGGAATGTAATGGGATGCTGACAATTCTTTTTCTTGGTTAGGGTGGTGGTTATGCAGATATTAACTGTACATCAATTTGTATTTGTGCATTTTTTGAAGATGTGCTATATTTAAAATATTTAAAAACCATTACAAGTAAAAGTGGAGTCCATTTTTATTAATTTTAAATCAGTTTACCAAATCTTTGTATTTAAAAGGATGAATAAGGATTAGATCCTTCTTTTCAGTTATTCACAGTCAAGTAACATTTACATGAAGATAAGTCATTGAGGTCTATTGTGATAATATATATGAAGTGCTATATGTCTCAGAGAAGGGGACAGCTAACTGTATGCCCACACAGTCAAAGCAAAGCCTCCCAGAAGAGGCAGCCTGGCATTATAGAAACAGCATGAATTTTAAAAGTTATACCTAACTGTGAATCAGCTCTCATACTATCACTTATTAATATTAGTCAAGATAACAATTTCTGTGAGCCTCAATTTTTTCAATTATATAAAATGTAGTTAATTTTTTGTGCCATTGTTTTAAAGATTAGAAAGTAAGTAAAGCATCTAGCATAGTATTTTAGAATCACAAGTATTCCTATAAATGGTGATTGCTTTATTGTTTTAATTAATATCATTATATTAATTATAATTATCATTACTATTGATGAATGAATCAGAATTAGTGAGGTACAGAATAGGTTAAAAGGATATAGACTAAGTGAGAAAGAATGTCAAGGAAAAAGAGGTCTGATAAACTGGAAAAACAGAGAAGGATAGCTGAGTTTTTAATTTATTTTTTATTGAGGCATTAGCTTACCTATAGTTAAGTACACACAGCTTTTTAGATATGTATAGATATATGTAACTACGTCCCAATTCCCAGAACATTCTCTCATGCCCCTCCTAGTCACTTCCTCCTTCAGCAAAGGTAAACCACTGTTCCAACATCTAACACCATCAGTTAGGTTAACCAGTTCCTGAATTTTATATAAATGGAATCATTCAGTATTTGTTTTGTTTTGTTTTGTTTTTGAAGGGGTGAGGTGGCTTATTTCACCCAGTATTATGTCCGTTGTTTTGTATAGTAGTAATTGGTTCTGTTCTGTGTCTGTAACATTTCATTGTGTAATTTTAATTTATTCTACCATTAATAACCATTTATGTTGGTTCCAGATTTGGGTTCTTATGAATAAAGCTACTACAAACATTTTTGTGCCTATCTTTTGGTGAACATACACATTCATTTCTGTGAGGTAGAACTGCATTATTGATAATGTTCAATAATAATATTGTAGGCTTTAGGATTTTATCTGTTTCACTTTTTTAAATAAAGAAGTAACTTTAAAGTAATCTTAAGTTTCCAGACATGGTAGAAAATACAAAGCTTAAGAAGTATTTTGGCAGAGCCCTTTTGGCTTCTAATAAATGTACTTTTGTGACTGACTTTTTAAAATAAAGATTGTTTTGCATGTGTTTTAGGAAACCAACTTTATCCAGATTAAGGAGAGTTCCGTAGTGTGACATTTTGTTTCCTTTGGAATTACCCTTGAAAACTCAGTGCTCAAAATGGCAATATTTTCTTTTTAAGGCCTTTGAACATTTTTATATAGTCACTGTATTTTATGGTTATAATCTATTTATTTGCCCTTAGTTGAAAGTCAGACTATTTGACTAGACTTAAAAAGCATTTTTGTTTTATCCCTCAATAATTATAAATTACTTGGAAATCATCAGAGCCATTATTTTTAAATCATTATGTGATTTGCAAGTTTGAGGTATAGAGAATCTTTTAAAATGTGATTTATTTATTGGTTTTTATGGATACTATACACCTAGGTTTATGAATGTCCTTTTCCACCATTTGAAACTTTCTATGAGACATATTTTCATGTGAAGAAAAGTTTATTAATACTTGAAACTTGTACTTTTGTTTTAATTTACTGTTCTGCTCTTGTAATAATATGTGAATGAAGACACAGTGAAGAGGGGTTTTTCTTAATTTAATAAATGGATTTCTCTAGATTCAGCTGAATACAAAACTTCACTAGAGAAATTGAAGTAAACATCTGTTTTTGTGAGAATAAAAGACTTTTAAATTTACAATATATACTTTTAGAAAATCTTTGTGCTCTTGTACATATGTTTAGAAGACCTTTGAAGTACTTTATATTAGTTTCTTAGAATTGAAAATTACTGATTACAGATATTTTGTTCTGAATAAATATTTTAGAAGATTCAAATTCTGATAAGTTTTTTTTAATTTAAAATTTCATGTTGCATTTATAACAAAGGTTTTTTCTTTTCCCGTATTGGGATTGAGTGATCATTCTCTTTATCAGAGGGATAGGAGTAGGGGTAGGGAGTGAAGAATCCCTCTATGTAATTACAGAAAAAAATCAATAAATCTCTGATTTAGGAGAATTGAATGAATTTGTATTTAGCTGATACAAACCAAATACGGAATAAATGGTATCATTGATATGCTAGAAATAATTTTTTTAGTATTTGTAATAAAGGCTTTTATTGGACTCAGAACAAATAATTTTAGGGAAGAGTTAATATTACTTGCCCTCAAAAGTAGAAAGAACTTCAAGAAAATGAGTACAGCTCCTTTTGTGCCTGCCACATAAATCTCAGTATTATCATTTCTCTTATTGTACCCTTATAACACTAATTTGTTAACTACTTTTGACAAAGTGTTACATTAATGTGTTAATCATGTTGCCTGTGTGCATGTTTATCCCAATATATTCATGTGTTTTAGATTCCTCTTTTTTAGAATTTACAAAGCAATAGTAACAGTAATAAAACGGGTCATTATTAATTGAATGTATATTGTGGTGCAGAATATTATGCTAAATGCTTTCTGTGCGTTCTCATTTAATTCCTACAATAAGCACATTGTTAGATTTGTTTAAGTCAGTTCCTCCATCAAGGATTTATAGCCCTGGTCCTCTTTTATTACCAATTCTGGAATTGTTTTCCCAGTTTGGCAAGAGGTGTGAGAAGTATATTGGGTTGGTTTTATCAGGATTCTTTGTTAGGATACAGCTTACTAAAACCTTCACCAAGACCTGAATCCATGCAGAGTACTCCAGGAGAGAGAAAAGAGGTATTTAGCTTGATGTTGGTGGATTCAGGGAAAGGCTTCATTGCCTCTGAAAGATTTAAAATATTCTAGAGAATTATTACACTATAAGTCTTTAAACTTACAATAGTTTAAAACCATATGTTTGGTCTAGGCTTCTTGTACTGACTTACACCAAATGTAATGTATATTTGAAATTCAATACTTATCTGCATTTGCTTTTCAATGTTTACATATGCTCAAAAGTACCAATACTGATATAATCATAATGTTTTTAAAGGTTTTGAAAGAGGAAAGGAAGACATCTCTCAAAATAAAGATGACTCTTCACTTTCTATGTCAAAGAGCAAGGTAAGCATATTATTGTCCCCAAATATATGATTACAACATTTTTCTAATATTTAAGATGAGGGAACTAACTCTGTAATCCTATCAGATTTTTATGAGATGGTCTTATGTTGGTATATCTAAATCACGTAGTATGTATGAAAAAAGGAAAGTTTCACTGGGGATGATTTAATGTTGTTTACTTGCAAATATAGCCTATTGGTAACCAGTATCCTCTTTAGGGTTACCTTGTTTCTGGTATGGTTGCTACAGCAGTACTTCTCAAACTGAAGCCTGAGAGTTTCCCCCGTTTGGAGAAATTCCCAGACATCATAGTTTAAAAAAAAAATTCTCAAGAATTTGGGATTCATTTGCAGGACAATCAAAATGTGTACATCTTACCAAAGGCCTAACAAACCTAAGAAAGAAAGATCTCTTTCTTAGAAAAAGATATAGTTCCCTAAATTAATGTTTCTCAAACTGGGATACTTGTACATATTCTTAGGTCTGTTGAGATATTTTTTTCTTTCTTTCCAAGTACATGTTTGAGAAACACTATATGATGCCTTAGTTTTCTGAGTCGGAACGGGTCCTGAAGGTCACTGTCCAGGCGCCAGCTGAGGTGGTGCGGGGCTCTGGATCTAAGGGTCCCTGTTCGGGCACCAGCTGAGGTGGAGGTCAGATTCTGTCCCTCATAGTATGCTCCGGGTCATCACGGATAGAGAAATAAAATAAGTTGTCTGAGACAGTTTTCTCTCAGTCTACCAGGGGAAGGGGTGGCACTTCCCTCTAGTGGAGAAGGCCCCAAACCCTTCTCTTGAAGTGACTTTTATTGAGAACCATATGCACAGGGGTATGGATGCAAAACTCATCCATCAATGTCAAAAGGCTATGTTTACAGAAAACAAATAGAGATCATAGATAACAATTGAAGGAACACAGGAGATTTGCCCCAGGTCAAGGTCTGTGAATAATTTAAATTTCCTTCCCAGTATGAGCCAGTTATCATAGCTTTTGAGAGAAGAACAAAGCGTGCTTCAAGGAACTTACTTCTAGGCCTGATTTTCCCCCAGGAACTGCCTGATCCAGTTTAGGGCTGTACCTGCCTTTGGTATTGTTTCAAGCCTGAGTCAGGTGGGCGGGGCAGAGCCACCAAGAAATAAGGAGACTTCTTTCAGATAGAATGAGGACTCCGGACATATCTAAGCCAAGGGGTGAGGGCCTTTTTCCCTTTCTCCATGTCCCCCAGTCCTTCCCTAATGGCCCCTGTGCGACTGTGTCTTAGGTTGCTTCTGCCATTGAGGGGTCTTACCCATCATTGACTAACCAGCCACCCTCCAGAGCCAAGCAGGGTGATGTGAGGGAGGCTGGGGCTGTGCCCCTGCCAGGGGGACTGGTTTTGTCTCCTCTGTGGCCCATTTTCCCAAGGCCTCCTTGCTCAGCTTCAGCTGGGGCCCTCTCGCCTCTCAGTGAGGCTACAGTCCCTGAAACCAGGCAGGACGGTTCCCAACAGTTTTCCTATGGGTTTGTCACTAGATTTCCTTATGTGAAAGGATTTGGTTTTTGCCTGTTATTTCTGGTCAGGTTTAATAGCAGGCGAAAGTTTTATGTTTGTGGAATCCAACCAAAGACATTAAGTAAGAAAATCTATTTCTTAAGCTTGTAAATTCTTTATTATTCTCAGCAATGGGCTTTGCTTTAAAAATTCTACTTCTTTGTTTCTGTTCTTGGAAGCAGTTGAGAAGATTCCATGATATGTTTTAATCTATAATTTTATACAAATTTTATTTGCATTTAATTTTTCAAGTATTCATTATATAAAGGCCCATCGATCAAATGTGTAAAAGTACTTAGAATGGAAGTTTATTAGTACTTTATATGTAGATAACATATACATGAAAAATGCCTTGATCATTGTATATGAGATGTGTAATTAAAGAAAATTATAGAGAAAATAATTATCTTGGATCTGCCATGGCTAGTAATACAGTGCAATTTATAAAATTTTAAAAACCTATTTTCAAACTGTTAATACCAGAATTAGTTAATATATGGTGTAATGGTATTCCTTTCTATTCAGAAGCCTAAACTCTTAAACCCAAGACCTACAGGTCACAGCTACCTATAGGTAGTCTTTAAGTGGTGGGTGGGTGGGTGCCGGGAACTGCGGGAGGAGAACGGGGAGCCTAAAAAGAAAGTTTATGTACCTTAATGAAGCAGTATGCTTTGGAACTGCCCTTTGAGTACAATAGCACCTAGTTGTACATGACTCTTTAAATATAAATGAATTAAAATTAAATAAAATTAGCAATTCAGTGTCTCAGTTACATTGCCCACATTTCAAGTGCTCAATAGCCACATATGACTAGTGGCCACCATAATAGACAACTCAGATATAGAACATTTCTGTCATTCAGGAAACTCTACTGGACAGCTTTACTTTGGAGTCAAAAAAGTGAGTTAGAATCTTGACTATCATCATTATAATTGTGGTGAGTAAGGTTATAAAAGAAGGAAAACTTAGTATAAAAACTTAGTATTTTCCAATAAAAATAGTTTGTGATTTTTGGTATTTAAAATATAAGCTGTTCATTCTGAAAATTGAGTAATTTATTTTATTTTTTTATTTAATCTTTATTATATCTTTTTCTGTTACCATTTAGTCCCCTTATACCTCACTTCCTCCAGCAGTTACCACTGTTGTCCATGTTCATGAGTCCTTTTTCCTTATTGCCCAGTCCCTCCTTCCCCTCACCTAGCCCCACTACCCCCCCATCCCAGCTGTCACCCTGCTCTCCATCTATGAGTCTGTCCCCATTTTCCTTGTTAGTTCAGTTTGTTCATTAGAATCTACGTATGAGTAAAATCATGTGATATTTATCTTTTTCTGACTGGCTTATTTCACTTAGCATAATGTTCTCCAAGTCTATCCGTACTGTCACAAAGGGTAATATAGGGTAATATTTTCTTCTTTTTTACAGCTTAGTATTCCATTGTGTAAATGTTCCATAGTTGTTTTATCCACTCATCTACTGATGGACACTTGGGCTGTTTCCACATCTTGGTGATTGTAAATAACGCTGCAGTGAATATAAGGAAGCTTATGTTCTTTCAAATTAGTGTTTTGGGTTTCTTTGGATATATTCCCAGAAGTGGGATCGCTAGGTGAAAAGGCACATCCATTTTTAATTTTTTGAGGTATCTTCATATTTCTTTACACAGTGACTGCACCAATCTGCATTCCCACCAACAGTGCAGATTTATAAACCCACATTTTCATAGTCAATTAATATTCAACAGAGGAAGCAGGTATATACAATGGGCTAAAGATAGTTTATTCAATAAATGGTTTGTGGAAAATTGGATAGATATATACAAAAAAATGAAACGAGACCACCTTCTTATACCACACACAAGAGTAAATTCAAAGGGGATCAACAACTTTAATGTTAGACCCAAAACCATAAAAATAGGAGAAGAAAACATAGGCAGCAAAATATTGGATATTGCCTGTAGCAATTATTTTATCAGATATATCTGATATAATAATTATCAGTTATAAATGTGGGTTCCCCTTTCTCCCCATCCTTGCTAACACTTGTTGTTTGTTGATTTATTGACGATAGCCATTCTGACAGATGTGAGATGGTATATCATTGTGGTTTTAATTTGCATTTCCCTGATGATTAGTGACACTGAACATCTTTCATATGTCTATTGGCCATCTACATGTCCTCTTTGGAGAAGTGTCTATTCAGGTCATTTGTCCATTTTTAGTTGGGTTGTTTTTCTTTTTCTTTTCTTTTCTTTTTTTTTTTGGTGTTGAATTTTATAAGTTCTTTGAAAGTTCTTTATAAATTTTGGATATTAACTCCTTATCAGATGTATCAGTAAATATGTTCTCCCATTCTGTGGGTCATCTTTTTTATTTTGTTGTTGGTTTCCTTTGCTGTGGAAAACTTTTTAGTTTGATGTAGTCTCATTTGTTTATTTTTTTCTTTGGTTTCCTTTGCCTGGGGAGATACATCTGATAAAATAATTGCTACGGGCAATATCCAATATTTTGCTGCCTATGTTTTCTTCTCCTATTTTTATGGTTTTGGGTCTAACATTAAAGTTGTTGATCCCCTTTGAATTTACTCTTGTGTGTGGTATAAGAAGGTGGTCTCGTTTCATTTTTTTGTATATATCTATCCAATTTTCCACAAACCATTTATTGAATAAACTATCTTTAGCCCATTGTATATACCTGCTTCCTCTGTTGAATATTAATTGACTATGAAAATGTGGGTTTATTTCTGGGCTCTCTGTTCTGTTCCATTGATCTGTGTGTCTGTTTTTATGGCAGTACTATACTGTTTTGATTACTATAGCCTTATAGAATAGTTTGATTTTAGGCAGCATGTTTTCTCCAACTTTGGTCTTTCAAAGGATCTCTGTTGCTGTGCAAGGTGTTTTGTGGTTCCATAGAAATTTTTGAAATATTTGTTTTAGTTCTGTGAAATATGTCATGATTTTTGGTATTTAGAATCTTGATAGAAATTGTGTTGAATCAGTAGATTGCTCTGCGTAGTATGGACATTTTAATGATGTTAGTTCTCCTTATCCATTAACATGGTATGTGCTTCCACTTACTTGTATCTTCTATTTCTTCAATGTCTTATAATTTTTTGAGTACAGGTTTTTACATCCTTGGTTAGGTTTATTCCTAGGTATTTTATTCTTTTTGTAGCAGTTGTGAATGGGATTGTTTTCTTAATTTCCCTTTCTGTTAGTTATTGGCATATAAAAATGCAACTGATTTCTGGATATTAATTTTGTATCATGCTACTTTGTTGAATTTATCACTTTTAGCAGTTTCTTGGTGGAATCTTTGGGGTTCTTTGTGTACAGTATTATGTCATCTGCAAATAATGACAGTTTTACTTATTCCTTTCCAATTTGGATGCCTTTTATTTCTTCTCATTGCCTGATTGCTGTGGCTAGGACTTCCAGTACTATGTTGAATAAGAGAGGTAAAAGTGGACATCCCTGTCTTGTTCCAGATCTTAAGGGGAATGCTTCTATTTTCTCCCGTTGAGCATGATGCCGGCAGTGGGTTTGTCATATATAACCTTTATTATATTTAGGTATGTTCCCTCTATTCCCACTTTGCTGAGTTTTTATCATAAATGGGTGCTGGATTTTATGAAGTGCTTTTTCTGCATCTATTGATATGGTCGTGTGGTTTTTATCCTTCATTTTGTATTAGTAATGTATTTTAAAATACTGTAGGACTCTTGGTCAGTGGATCCTTTTTGTTTGTTTGAGAATTAGCTATATACAATATGGCAAGGATTTCTAGAAGTGTGGGTGCTCTAATTTATCAAGCTTATATGACATCCTTCTGGCCTGCTGGTCCCTTATATACTAGAATCTTTTAGGAACTCCCAAGCCAGATCTTGTCATGTCTAGGAAACAGATTTCCTTTTGTTAATGAAGATAAGTCTTATATTTGAGTCTGATTGAGTTTATATATGAAGAGTTTTAAAAGGTGAGAAATCAATATAGTGAGATGGCTAAGAGCATGAGACTGGGAATTAGCTAGACTAGAGTACAAATCCAGCTTATTTTCTTACTTGCTTTGTGTGACTCTAGGAAGTCAGTTATCTAATCTGTTGGTCTTAATTACTTATTAGCAAAAGGGGGATTCTACTACTGTTCCATGGGGTTCCTTTGAGGATTAAATGAGGTAGTGCATATGAAGTACTTAACATAGTACCTGGTTAAATACTTCATTAATACTTCATTAATTAAGAGCCATTAATTTTCATTAACTTTTGAGCTAATATTATTAGTATTTGTAGTTTAATAGTATCTAAGAAGTACATTATATTATAAATTTTCCTATTAAGCTATGAAAAATAGAAACCACATTGTATACAGATTAATTTATTGATTAGTTATTATACTTTTTGGTTTTGTGGGTTTAATGTGGATTAGTTTTTAAATCCAAATACTATACTATGTGGAAAATCAGTATTTGAAAATCAGCATTTGCCTAAATCACAGCAATAAATGGGAAGAATATCACAAGCATAGCTTGAACATTAATATTTGTATGCCATATGTGTAGAATAAATGGTTTTAATATTTTTTGTTTATTGTTATGTGATTTTAGTCTGAATCTAAACTTTATAATGGCTCGGAAAGGGACAGTTCTGCTTCAAGCAAGCTCACGAAGAAAGAATCTCTCAAGGTTAGTTTCCACAGTCATTTCATGACTAATGTTATGCTTTACACGTGCTTTTGAAAGTAGGCTAATAAGTTAAGTAAACTTCTTTCTGAAAGGAGAAAAAAACCCAGGGAGACACACATAAAAAATAGCAATATTTGTATGACATTCTGGAGTCAACTGAAAGGCCGCATAATGACCATCCCAGGACTCCTTCAGGTCTTCAGGGGCTGCTGCTGGGGCTGAGGACCAGCTGCCTCCGCAGAGCTTGCTCCTGTCAGGTGCATCGCTGTGTTGTGGGACACCTGATGGGAAGCTCTGGTGCCCTTTGGAATTCAGGTTTACTAACTGCTAGGTCATGGGCTAAATTTGGCCCACGGTAAGATATACGTAAGTCCTCACTTAACATTGTCAGTAGATTCTTGAAACTGTGGCAAATGATGTATGACAAAACTAATTTTACCACAGCTAATAAATATAAAAAAAGAGTTAAGTTCCTACAGCATCTCATCGCTGTTATAACAAAACAATGTTAAACAAAACATTATTTGAGAAACTGCTATATGTTCTTTGACCTACACAGTGTTTTCAAAATTCAACAATCACCAGTTCAGACTTGCAGGTTCTCTTAAAAAATGTGCAATATGGGACCTGCCCTCTATATTGGCCACAGATCCTGGAGCCTAAGGAACACATGCTTTCCAATGACTCTGATCCCTGTGTAATTTATTTTACCTCTCCCCACACCCATATCTGATCTTGTATGCATTTGCAGTTTCATATTAAAGCTACTGTTAATTCAGATATGCATGATAATAAACACCAAAATTTTACAGTTTTTGGCTGTAGAATTATTAAAGTTTTGTTATTTGTATGTGGTCTCTTTACCATTAAGTGAAAATAGAAAGATTTTGTGTTAGATTTAAAAAGTATATATATCACTGATAGGTTACTACCACTCTTCTCCCATTCATGTAATAACAATAAAGCAATAATGAGACTACACTAATGCAATGCTACTTTCCCATATTATCTCAGAACTGACTTAAGAAGGTAAAGCTTTGATATTTTGAATGAATTCATTTCATTGTTGTGGTTTCTTATTTTTATATATATTAGTGTCCGGAAAGAGCAAAATTGCTAGTTGCAAACAATTGGTACGTTGCTCAAAATATGAAAAAACCCCGCTAACAGTAGATTTCTATCAGTATGAGAATATTAATACATCAAGAAAAATTCTAGACTCAATATAGCATGATGGTTGAGAACATGTATTTTAGAGCCAGTCTGCCTCTGTTTGAATCCTGCCTCCATGACTTAGAGCTGTGTGATTCTGGGCAAGCTACTCTGTGTGCCTCAGTTTTCTCTTAGTAAAATAAGGATACTAGTAGTCCTACTTCCCAAGGTTACTGTAAAGGTTTAATGAGGTGTGATACATGTAACGTGCTTAGAACTGTTACTGGTACACAGAATGTACCCAGTAAATGTTAGCTATTATTTATACAAGGAATTCTGTGTAGCAATTTAAAAAATGAGGTGGACATGGAAATGATCCAAAAAAATATTGAATGGGAGAAAAAATATTTTACTATGTTTAAAAACTCAAAAACAAACAGAAAAGCTATATATTTTTATAAGTTTTATACATAGCAAAGGCCTGAAAGGATAGTGTTGTAAAAAGGTTAACAGTGGTCAGTTCTGTGGATTAGAATACGATAGAGTGTAATAAAGATGGTGTTTTAGCTTTATTTGTGTTGTTTAAAATTTTTACCTTGAGATTATATTTGCGTATTGTGGAATTTTAAAAATGTAAAATTCTTTAGAAAGATACAGAGAACTTGACTAGTGATCAGAAAAAAACTTAGATTTTAACCTTACTTCTCTAAAAATTTCTACCAGTTCTTGAAAAAAAACAAAACAAAACAAAACAAAATAACTCTTTTATTCTAAGATGCTAGATTTCTAAGAAGGGTCAGAATTTTATACTCTACATTCTGTATACTTAAAAATTTTAAAGAGAAATTACTCATTTCTAATGAATTTTTAATTTTTCTATTATTTCTGTAAAATAGGTGCAAAAGAAAAATTACCGAGAAGAGAAGAAAAGAGCCACAAAGGAGTTGCTCAGTACAATCACAGATCCTTCTGTTATTGTTATGGCTGATTGGTTGAAGGTCAGTTTGTATTAAATCTTTACCTACTGGTATAGGAAAGCCCAGAGTGCACTAAAGCCTACAAGACATAAATAACTACTAGCATGATTGTTCTTCACTGTCAAGCTATTAATTGTATCCCAGAGGTTCTCTGTTCCAGTCTTAATGAGAAGGAACCTTAATGTTGTCTCTCTTGACATAACATCAAAGATGCATAAGCAGTTCTTTTAAAAAGGCTTTTTGATTTGTGTGACATTATATAGTCTAATCAATAGGCTGTAAAGTAATTTTTGCTTGCTTTTTAAGTTATTTAATATTATTGTAGACTTGGTATATGCATTATTGAGAGGATATGAGACAAAGTTAATACTAAAATTATCATTTGAAAAGGATTAATGTTCAGAGAAATGTACACGTTGCTGTTCCCTTCCCTTTTTTGGCGTCTCGTTATTCCCATTTATTTTTATTTCTTTTTATACCATTTCAGTCACTCTGTCCTCTTTGTCGTTCTTATTTGAAGGGTATTTGGTAGTAATCTTTCAGGCTAAGGCTAACTTTAAGAATCATCCTATAAAGACCCTGAGTCCTAAGAAATTTTGGTACCTGGCATTGACCTAAAAATTACCCTAGCCCTGAAAGCTTTTCACTTTCCCAAAGAGTTGGTGCAGTCTCCAACCTAAAATCTTTATGAGATCCATCATTGAAGTTCTCCTACTAACATGGGAATCTAGTGATGGTTTCCTTGATAGTTTAAGTAATAAGAGGGTCTTCTTCAATGTTGTGCTGAAAACATCTAATTTTGGCTCTGCTTTGAAGACTTTAAGCTCCAGATCTCACTTGGGTTTTTCAGGGCTAAACCTACTATTGTCTTTTGACATTGGATTTCCCCACCAACTCCCCAAAACTTTCCAGCACATCCCCTGGCTGACTTTCTAAGTCTTACCTTCATTTTGATAATTTGCCATCCATGTGTTACTATCACATCTTCAAGATCCAGAATCTTATCTCAGAATAACTCTTATCTTTCCGTCTCTTTTACATATATACATACATTTTCTTAAAGATTTTCTCTTTTTTTTTCATGCCTGGCTCCAAACGCCTCCTTTCTGTGTTTCTTATTTAAAGTTACTGTGATATGTCTCTTTGGGGAGTTTAGGAGCTCTATATTTATTTCATAATTCATGTAAGTGCATTGAGAGAATAAATGTTTTGTAGTAAATAAAACTGAGAATAATTCCTAGTTTTTAATCTCAATATTATATTAGCATCTTATTCACTATTGTGAATTCATTGACTTACATAGAAACATTTTTAATGGATTACAGAAATAGAATAGGAAAACTAGCTATAGACTTATTTTTGACATGGCATTAAACCTTAGGATGAGGAATATTTTATAAGACTAGAGAAATTTATGTAACTTGTGTTTGAAATTTACCCAAGAAGTTTATATGGCACACTTTATGTAATTACTTAGAATGTAGTAATGTAGAGAAGGTCATTTTAGGGCAGGATGTTCTTCCCTCTCTCTAGCACTCACCAAATATTTAGGGAATGAATTCCTGGTGTGTGTGTTTTCAGCACTCTTTATGTAGTAGTAAGGGGTTAAAATATCTTAAAAGGTAAAATAATCTTATATTAACAGAAGTGAAATTATAGCTGTTTTAGATGCTAGAGGCAAATCTTGGTATCAGGAAAGTATATTTTAATAGACCCTGACCTGGAAGATTAGGAAAACCATTCTACTTAGTACAGCATTTTGAAACTGTTGACCCAATTCTCCTGCTAGAATTTAACATCCTCAGAAACAGGAGTTGTACTATTTTTTTAACTTTATTTTTACTGTTAACACTATTGCAAATGTCCCCCTTTGTCCACCTCCCCCCGGCCCCCTTTCCTCTGGCCATCCCCACACCGTTGTCTGTGTCTGTGGGCGGTGCGTATATGTTCTTTGGCTCATCCCTTCACCTTCTCTCATCCAGTCCCCCCAATCCCCTTTCCCCTTGACAGCTGTCAGTCTGTTCCATGTGTCCATGCCTCTGTCTCTATTTCTATTTTGTTTGTCAGTTTACTTTGTTCATTAGATTCCACATGTAAGTGAGATCATATGGTATTTGTCTTTTACGCACTGGTTTATTTCACTTATCATAATAATCTCCAGATCCATCCATGCTGTCACAAAAGGTAAGATTTCCTTCCTTTTTCTTTTTTTAATTAGTACTTGCTATTTAGTAGCTTTTAAAAAAATAACCATTGACTCTAATGTGTACATTTTTCTGGACATTTTAGATTAAAACATCCTGTTTACCATTACATAGCTTGTATCTTGAGCAGAAAGAGAAAAACAGCTTTATTTCTTCAATTTATTTTCTGTAGATTCGTGGTACTCTAAAGAGCTGGACCAAATTGTGGTGTGTGTTGAAACCCGGGGTGCTGCTGATCTATAAAACCCAAAAAAATGGCCAGTGGGTAGGAACAGTCCTTCTAAATGCTTGTGAAATCATTGAGCGTCCATCAAAAAAGGATGGCTTTTGTTTCAAACTTTTTCATCCTTTGGAGCAGTCTATTTGGGCAGTGAAGGTAAGCACTTGTTAAATAGGTAACAGGTAAAGATGACAATCTTTGAGTAGAACAGAGACAAATCAGTTAATCTAATGATTGCTCTTCTCTGCCAGCACTTACAAATTTATTTGATTTCAAGAGCATTATTCCTGTCTCTACCGACAATGAAATGCATACTAAACGTTCTTTTTACCTTTAAGATCTAACCTAAAATTTTCTCCAGAAAATGTTTTTCTAATTTATATTGTGCCTTATTATCTCTTTGCCATGAGGATTCAGTTTGTACTTTTTAAACAAATTTGCAATGAATAATCTTGCTTTGTAATATTGTATCATGTTTACTGTGTTTCTCTTTATCAAAATTGTAAGATCCCCTAGAACAGAAGCCGCCATTTTTTTTTGTGGTTTTTCCTGTAGTGATATAAATATGTGCTAAGAAGCTTATAAGCAATCACAGACCTACTTACTCTTGAGAGGCAACTTTCTTTGAAGATGGAGCACTAATGCTTTATAACTAAAAAGTATTACTGTGGTCACTCTTTTATTATAATAGCAGAAACTTAACCAGGAAAGTAGAAGTGCCTTATTTGATTGACTACTAAGAAATTCTATAAACAGTTGACGTACCGTGCACACTAATGAATAAATGAGTCTAGTTTAAGTTTTTATAAGGCAATCATTGTTTTAATTAGAAAGAAGGTCAGTTACATTTGAATAAAGGGTTTATGACTCCTTTAAGGAAAACCTCCTAATTGAAATCACAGCTGAGTAAAAGTAGGTTCAGCTTTTAAATATTTTCGATATTCCTTAATTATGCAATATAGGTATACCTAGGAAAAAACCTAGAAATTTTACCTTTATTTCAGTAGTCTGGAGTCAGAAATAAATTTAGGATTACAGAGTTAGTTTCATGCTGGAATTAGATATATCCCATACAAGAAAGATTTTAAGCCATATATATATATGCTGTATATATACATATATAGTGCTATTCTCACGTGAAAAACAATTATGTTCAAAACCTTTTATATATTGCATTTATTCTTCACTACTACTCTAAGGAATTTAAGAAGTTATTAAAATCCTATTGATTTTTCTGTTTTTTCATTTTGAATCTGCATCTTTTAAATGTTTATGTAGTCTTAAAGTTCATTTTATTCCTTGATCTGACAACCTAAATGTTTTTTTCGGTCAAAATCATACTATAAATTCAATCCTCAGATTTTGTTTTTAATTTTTATGTATTGGTTTTGTGTATTGGAGAGAGGAGGAAAGAGGCAGAGAGAGCAAGAGAGAGAGATTTGTTGTTTCACTTGTTTATGCATTCATTAGTCTACTCTTGTATATATGCACTGACCTGATACCAAACATGCAACCTTAGTGTATCAGGACAGTACTCTAACCAGCTGAGCCACCCAGCCAGGACTTCTCAATCCTCAAATTTTTCTTTTCCAGATAAGAATTATATCCACCTAAAATTAGTGTTGATGATACTAGTTACTGTGGAGCTCTTTTTCTTTCTTGTTTCTGGAAAAATAAAATTAGTTTTTATAGTTAGTATTTATAAACGAGTGTATCAGTGGTTATAAAATGGAGCTTTATTTTTTCCCTTGACCTAAGAGAAAAGCCTTTTTGCTTTTTCTTATAAATCGTAACTACCTTATATTTCCAGCTGTTTTTTTATGGGCTTCTAGAAGTTAAGTATTTTTTTTCTAGTAGTATATGTGGGATAGAAATTCTCTGTTAAATTAAAATTTTAGCTAATATGGTAAAATTTCCCTTTCATATGTGAACAACGTACAGAAATAATGTTTAATGATAAGTATAAGGTGTTCAGTTTTTGGTAAGGAGGTATATTTGTTGGAAGAAGAAGACTTTCCTTAATATTCAACATTTACTTTCTCAACAAGCATGAAGTTAAAGCTTATTTGCTTTTAAATTATAATCCATGCCTAACTTAGATTGTTACCAGTAATAATGGATAATATAAAGTTGAGATCTTATAATACTGTATGCCATTTATTTTGCTTATTTTTATTTGGTTATTTTAAGGGTCCAAAAGGTGAAGCAGTGGGATCCATAACTCAGCCCTTACCTAGCAGTTACTTGATCATCCGAGCTACTTCAGAGTCAGATGGTAAATACAGGTTTTAATGGATTAGATTTTGATCTCATTTTTAAGGGTTTATTTTATAAACCACTGTGTATTTTCCTTAGGGAAAAATCTGTTTTTAGAATGGTATTTGTAAAAGAAGTATTATAATCAGAAATTGTTTAGAACACCAAATATATTATTAACTTGGTAGACAACAAAGGAATCTGATAGGAAGAAGCACTGGATAATTGAGTGATAAATTAGCAGCCTAGAGTTTTCTTTTTAATCCTCCATTGACCTGTTAACATCTTTTTTGATGTGGTTAGTGTTCTCTAACTCATTAATAAAACTCATTAAGTTTTATTGTTTTAGAGGTACACTTAATACTACTTATATTTTATCACTAAGTATTAACATTTATAAAACACATACACTGTTTTAAGTTTTTTTTAACCTAAGACATTTTTCTGTACTTATTAACTTAATAGTTAATTCCTGAAGCAAATACAGGGAGAACAAAACTTATTTCAAATCAAAGTAACCTTAAAACCTTAATTATTGATAATGGATTTCAGCCTCACTTTTATGTTTTATAGTCTAGACTAGCCTAGCCTAAGGAATCTTGTAACCATCCAGTTTACTTTTACCAGATAATTATTTTTAAAATTAAAATATCATAGCCATGAGCTTTTGTTGTGAAAATATTTTATTTGGCTGATATTTCCAACAGGTGTTGAAACAAATACATAGGAATTTTAAGTGAACTAACATTTTTTCCTACTAGTTACAGTTCTAAATTTTAATTTAAAAAATAAAGTTACTAATGTTTCTACTAATATGGCAATTAATGACAGTATTGTATAAGCATTTTCCTGACTTAAAAGTTTTAATACACATAAGTGGAGTGGATGCTAAACCTGGGGATAAACCTTCTTTCAACAACAAAGGATTATTTTAGATAGTCTATTTATAGTACAAAAAAATCCCCTTCAGTATATTTCATGTACCTATTTCAGTATCTTCAGATTATACTACATATTAATGTTCTAAGATTTAAAAATAAAACACATGTATTTTCATTAGGTCTATTTACCAACATGTACTATATTCTATTAATTTACCAGTGGTTTCTAAATACTTACTCATATAAAATCACTTGATAAACTGGAAAATTGGATTAAAAATTCCTTGTGTAAGACTTTATGCTCAAAATAATTTTTCCAGTGCATTTTTCTCAAAGAAATAACAGTATGCCTAAAGGCTAACAGTGTTAAATTAAATTAAGATTGATGCTAGTTTTTATAGTTTCTTGAATTATACTGCTTATAAATCTGCGTTCTTTTAGGAAGGTGCTGGATGGATGCTTTGGAATTGGCTTTGAAATGTTCTAGTCTTCTTAAGCGTACAATGATCAGGGAAGGAAAGGAACATGACCTGAGCATTTCATCAGAGAGCACACATGTGACCTTATATGGCTTATTACGTGCTAACAATCTCCACAGTGGTGACAACTTCCAGTAAGTAGATATTGCCCCTAATTTGGTGATTGCTTTAGAGACTATGTTGTTTACTAGGTTAGCTAGCAGGCTTATACTTTTTTTGTAGTATATCTGGGATTGAAACTTGGCTGTCTTTTTACTATACGGCCTAAAGCCTGATTTAAGATTTGTTTAGTTACAACGATAAGGTATAGAAAGTTATTTCGTTGATCCTTGCTAATAATATAAATTACTTGTTATTTCCCAAATGCAACCATGCTGTCTACCTTGTCTTTGTGCATGGTGTTCCCTTCATTAAGAATGATTTCTAGTCCTCCTTGCTCTTTTCTCTTGTGATAAAACTATATATTCTTTAGGAGCAATCTCAAATTTCAGATCATATACGAAGACCTTCATGCCACTTAACCATGAAATAAAATCTACTGTTCCACTGTGGTTCTATAGCTTTTTTTTTTTTTTTTTTTTTTTTTTTTTTGGTAATACCACCAGACTTACTCTTCCTCTTCCTGGTATTTGTGGAATTCTCCTATTGTATTGTGTTTCAAGTTGGAACTGGATCTTATTGTGGTTTTATCCTCTGAAGCATTTAAGAGTAAATGCTAGTGGTTCATACTAAAAAAAAATATGTCTCTAGGGAAACTTAATTCTTTGCTTGAGGTTTGATCTCTTCTGTTGCTTTGTAGAAAAAACATTAGACTTTCCCTTTTCTTCCCTTGTCCCAATGCTCACTTTCTGCTCCGCAGCCATTTAGTAGTATCAGTTTTGGGTACTCTCCTTAAAGTTGTTAAGACTGCCACTCTCCTCCATGTAACCTGAGCTGAGCATTTTCTTTTCCTTATCCTTTTTTTTTACTCTCTTTCTTCACTCTGAAAACCCTAATTACCTGACATTTTACATCCTTTTTTTTTGCAGAATTATAATCTGGAGTTTTATCTTAACCCTCAGAACAGAAGTTTGAATGGGATTAGATTGGGGATGGGAGCACAATTTATATAGGAATGGGTGTTTTAGTGGGGCCTCTTCCTGAAATTTTTTTCCTTGAAGTTCTTCAGCTGTAAACAATTCATTGTTTTTGTTGCACACCGGGTAATCTTTAAATGCTCTTATTTGGGGATCTTAAAAATTCATCTGCTTCATCTGTTTATTCATTAAAGTTTCGGAACCTCTTTTCTGTGTAAGGTACAGTACATTTCTGTAAAATTTACCACATTGTGAATAGACAGATGAATTCGAAATGATCCTAAATTTGAATCTAGTACAACAGTTTATTAGTTATGTGATTCTGAAGAGATGTTTTGTATTGTTTGAAACCTATAAAATGCCAGATAGCTGTAAATAGGAAGAAAAGAATAACATAAACAGCTACAGGAGAGATGTTTTAGGGTAATATAGGATCAGAAGAATTTATAGGATGAAAACATAGAATCCTCCTAGGAATCTGGGAGAGGGTCAATATAACAGATTTTTACAAAAGTAGAATCAGTATACCAACATGTTTATTTGGCTATAAAACAGAAAATGAGCTGGGAGCTGAAGGTGCAGAGATGGGAGGAGTGTGAGCCTAGCTTAGGAGCTTAGTCAGCTTAGATGTAAGGGACAGGCAGTGAGTGAAGTTAAAGAAGATTACCAAACTTTAAGCCTGAGTGACAGGGTAGATGATGGTAAAATAAAACAAAGGACCATGTTTAAGAGATAATAATTTATTAAATATTGTACATGTTGAGGTCCCAGGATATAGATGATATCAGCCAAGCATTTAAAAATATGGGTCTAAAGCTTATTCCCACATGCATGGGTTTGGAAATCAAGTAGAATTGGATAGCTTACAAAAGGAGAGAAAAGACAGAGAAAATTAAAAAAAGCCAAGGAGAATGACTATGTTTAAGGGTAGAGGGAAGTAAGAGGGATCAGAGAGCTTAAAAAGTACAACTACGGTTATACATGGAACCCAAGCATTAGACTATTTCCAGGAAAATGATCATCATCTAAGGCCATTGATTTGGGGAAGTAAAAGGAGGTCATGATTATATAAGGCCATTGGAGTTATCAACAAAGCCATCATTAGTGACCTTGAAGGAAACAGATTCATTGGATTTAGGGGAGTGAAAACCAGATTATATGAGGTTAGGGGGAGAATAGATGGTAAGAAAGGAGAGAGAGCAATTTTAGATAACTTTTAAAATATATGATCATTCAGGAAAAGAAGGAAAAAAATGTATATAAAAATGAATTTCTATTAGTAATTCTCTGAAATCAAACAAATGAAGATTTTAGAAAAATAGGACTGAGATAGGAATCAAATAGAACTTCTTTTCTCTGATACTATTTCAGCATTGCTAAAATATCAGTTATACATAATGGTATCATGTATTCATTTCTAAAGTACTGTAGTGTTCATTCCTATAAGTTTTTTATGATAAATGAAACCTGCAGATACCTCCTTAAATAAGAAATTTCTAAAAGAAAAAATTTGTTTCTGAAAGTGAGGTTTTTTTAAAATTATTTTTTGTACAGATTATTAATCCTAAACACTTTAGGGTTAGTGTAAACGGGGTTGGTTTTAGCCAGTTATCAATTTTAGATTACAGGTTCATTTCCTTAGCTAATATTTTCATTTCCAATTCTCCTTGATCTTTTTTCTCAATCTTAAACTTATCTATCAAGTATTAAATATATATAATTACTTACCTTTTACATTTTCTTGTCTTATTCTTGGACTTATTTTGAGTAACTTTGGAGACCTTTACAGGTGGGAAGTCATACTTCATTTGAGTCTACCTGAAACTCTGAGAAGCGTTACTCGAAGTTTTCCTACAGACCAGAAGTGACAGTGAGGTTGATTCAAGTGGTGATGATTATAAAACTAAGAAAAAAAAATCTAGCAAGAGATAGTCTAACATTTTGCTTTTGGACAGTTTTAGCCCCGAGTGGTAGAGAGCCAGAGCTCAGTGTCCTGTTTTTTAACATTTTCCCAGATTTTTGCTTAACTTCTCTGCCATTTACTAATCTGTAAAGTGAGAATAATATTATCTATCTTACAGGGTTATTTTGAGGATTAAATGAATTAAACTGTATAAAACACTAAGAACAGTGCCTAACACTTAGTAAATTCTCAGTAAATGTTATCATTCTTATTTATAAATTCAATGTTCTTAACTTTTTTATTCGTCTTTCTCATAAATCTTTTTCTTAAGGTTAAATGATAGTGAGATAGAACGACAGCATTTTAAGGACCAAGATATGTATTCTGATAAATCTGATAAAGAAAATGATCAAGAGCATGATGAGTCTGACAATGAAGTGATGGGGAAAAGTGAAGAAAGTGACACAGACACATCGGAAAGACAAGATGACTCATATATTGAACCTGAGCCTGTGGAGCCTTTGAAGGAGACCACCTACACTGAACAGAGCCATGAGGAACTCGGAGAGGTGAAAGTCTTTAATTTTCAGAGGTTTGGGGTTTCTGATTCTTGAAAATTTTCAAGTGAATTTGAATATATTATTTGTTGGACCTATTGTTTATTTTCCCAAAAGAATATTTCTGTGAGACATATTTTATTTTAAAAGTTGCATACATATGAAGTATATTAGGATTTATAAACAACTAAAAACATAGTGCTCATACAAATATGAATATAGTCTATTAAATTTAAAGTTTACATTTACTTCAAGTTTGCTTTTGAAATAGGATGCTGCTGGATGTGTTTGCCAGATACAAGGTAAATTGCAAGGAAACATAGAGTTTAATCACTTTCTTGTTACTGCTAGTGTACAGAATTAATAGCATAGTGGAGTATAATATTTTTGTAATGGATTCTTTATTTATGAGTATATCATTCACTTTGATGTTTCTTGCTATTTTCATATTTACCTAAATTTTATAGCTATGGACTTTATTTATTTAATGGATTATTTTCACTTTTTAAGAATTCTTAGAGAGTTTGGATTTTCAACATTAGTTGCCTTTTTTACACACCTATGTGTCTGAAATAAATATAATATTTCTGTATTTTTGTTAATTGCTAAAGGCAGGTGAGGCTTCTCAAACAGAAACTGTGTCTGAAGAAAACAAAAGCCTTATCTGGACGCTGCTGAAACAAGTCCGTCCTGGCATGGACCTGTCCAGGGTGGTTCTGCCTACATTTATTTTGGAACCTCGTTCTTTCCTGGATAAACTTTCCGATTACTACTACCATGCAGATTTCTTATCTGAGTAAGTAGATTCTTATTTCTTAAAATAGAAGGTAACTTCATGGTTTTAGAGATTTTCCAGAGTTTCATTCAGTGGTTATGCCTTATCAAAATTGGGCTCTAACGAAGTATCACTCTCTTCTCTACCACTTCTATAGTTCACCTTAATAAGAAGCATATTTAATACTTTGTTATACTGTTTTCAGTTGAATTGAGAGGTCACAAGCTTGAAGAGGACAAGCATTGTACCCCTCACCCAACAACACTGCTCTCATAGGCTTCCTGAGTGTTTGCTGACCTAACACAGGGAGAGGCGGTTGGCATTCTCTGTTCTCCCTTGCTTTACTCCTTGTTTAGGTCCCATTCTGGAGCTTGTGCTTTTGTTTATACTTATCCTCTTGGCACACTTGTGAGGCACATACAGCTTACCTGATCTGGAATGCCCGCCAGTTGCTGACTCTTGGCATAAATCCCCACCTTCGTCTTTGCTTTTTTTCCTGCCAGCTGATCCTGGGCGTAATTCTGAACAAGGCAGGCAGAAAGCAGGTGGGAGAGGAACTGTCTACCTCTGTCCCAACAGTTGTTTGGAGAACCAGTAAAAGACAGTGACATTGTATATACCTTTCCAAGTTTTACCTGCTGCCCCCATTACAGCTGCGGTGATGTTTCAAGGCGCTGTGTTTTCTGAGATTCTAAGTTCTGGCCATGTGATCTGATTTTTAGATTCTGTATCAATACCTGTATTTGGTTTATTAGTTGCATTATTAGTCTGTTAGTTGTATTAATAACATTGCAAAAATCATAAACTGAATCAAAAGATCATTGATAAGTTTTAGGAGATTTTTGCAAATTAATTCACAAAGTGTTGATCTCCATAAAAGAAAAAGTGCTCATACAAAGTGATTGAAAATGATCAATAACCTAATAGAAAAGGAGTGGAGTAAATGACTAGATTAAAACTGAAGAAATAGAAATAGTTTTTAAACATGCACACCTCACACAAAATAAGAAAAATGCAGATTCAAACATAAGGTACTTTTTCAGCCATCACATTGACCAGAAGTCCAAAGGCTTTTATACCCCACTTCTGACTTATATCTTATTATATTTCTTTTTATCTGCCTTGAAATTCGTTTTTCTCAGAGTGTGAGGTACATTCCGCTAAATCACAATAAGATCTTGAGAGATGTACATTTTTCCAAATTGAAAGGTTGTACTTTTCTGGTAATACACACAATTTCATTGCCAAGGCTGTGTGTAGCAGGGACTCATAGACTGCAGGGTGATGCAGACTAGCACAGCACCTTTGAAGAGAATCTGGGAGTACTTACCAGAATTGTGATGCATTGAGTCCTTTGGTCCAGCAAGCTTGGCTGCTGCCACATTGCTGCAAATGCTAGGCATCAAACAGTACATAAATCTCAAAATCCATTTTTTCTTCTATCACAGTTTCTGACAGAACCCCTTAGCAACATTCTCAGGTTCTGCAGAAACCCAGTTGAAAAATCTTGGTTTGCAGAGTTTTCAAAAACTGTTGAGAAAGACCCTGGGCAGCATGTCGAAGAATAAGAAAAATGGGAAGGAAAGCAACCAGTTTGTGAAAAATTCTTATAAACTGATGTATGTTGTTGTTTTTGCCATCTATTTTAAATACAAATAATGCTTTTCAATCATAGCTCATATTCAGTTGTTGACTTGATAAAAATGAGGGAGAATTTATGATACATTCTTTAAAATTTTTGTGTTTACCATTTTATTTTTTTAGGACTGCTCTTGAAGAAAATCCTTATTTCCGTTTGAAGAAAGTAGTGAAATGGTATTTGTCAGGATTCTATAAAAAGCCAAAGGTAATGTTTATATTTTACTTTTTTCAGCCTCATATATACGAGTTCTCTTTTGTTATCTTTAGATTTATTAATAATTGCATGGCCTTGAGTTAGCAAAATTGCAAAAGACTTGATCACTTAGTCCTATATTACGATTGAAGTTATTTAACTTTATTTCATATCACTAATGTGAAATTTTATAAGGATAGCTCCCACATGATACAGGTAAAGCCATCTTGACTGGTTTAAACTATTTTGAGTCTTCCATATTTGTAATTTGAAACTTGTATGTTTTTCACTAGGGACTGAAGAAACCTTATAACCCTATACTTGGTGAGACTTTCCGTTGTTTGTGGATTCATCCCAGGACAAACAGCAAAACTTTTTATATTGCTGAACAGGTATTAGAAATGTGTTTTACAGAAACAAAATTGATTCAGAAGTTATTGGGATATTTTTATAGAAAATAGTAACTCAGTAAACTCACTGTTGATTAACTTTTATTAATGAACATTTAGTAATCATTTTACCTTTTAGTACTGAGTACTACTAAATACCATACTCAAAGGTATTACTATTATAGTCATAGAATCCTATGACCAAAAACAATTTTTTCCTGCTCCCTCAACCCATTTTTCAAAATTCTTCAGTGTTTCTCCAGTTCCTAAATCAAATTTATTCCCATTTGTGTGGCATTCAAGATCTTCCACATCTTTTTAAATTTACCTCAAATTACATGCATTTCTGAGTCAAACCTGTCCATTCACAATTAAGTAACCTGATATTACACTTCTTTCTTTGCGAAGTATTTTTAAATTTAAATTTCCCACCCCAGTAATTCTTCTCAGCCATTCTTCATCTAAATAAACTCTGACCTGCTCATCTTTCATGATCCATATGACTACAGCTCCAAGTGATTTCTCCCATCTCAAATTTCTGCATTATTTTTTGTGATTATCCATTAAGCTGTTATTTTAACACTTGTATTAACTTTTTATAGAATATTTCCCCAATTGAATGGTTAGCTTTTTGAATGTATACCACTCCGCAGTATACCTCTTTATTGTACACATAGTACACAGTCAGAAAATACTTATTTTTAATATTTCATTAAATTTATCTACATCTATATTCATGATTGTTAATCTTCCCCTCATCCTAACAACCGGGAGAATATGAAATATTAAAGTAATAACGGATCCTTATTATAATAATTATCACCTGGAATGTAAGAAGGATGAGGATACCATGTGGCATTTGAAAAACCTCCCTCTTCCCTAGAAATTTTAATCCCTTTGATTGAAACCACCTCTCTGAATTAATTTTTTAATTAATATAACAAAATGATTATTTTTTAATTCACTATAATTCTTGAGTAGAGTTTAATTGATCTTAGTTTTGTCTCATTTCAGAAAACATAAGATGTATATTTTTTAAAACTATTTTATATTTTAAAATTATTTTAAAAATTATTTTAAAATTTTATTTTATATTTTAAAATTATTAAATATCTAAAGGAACATATTTAAAATTTTAAATATACTTTATATATTTTAAATTTTAAAATTATTAAAATATCTAAAGGAACATATTTGTCAAAGCTTTTGTTAATTTCCTACAGCTATTTGTAATTTATATGAAGAATAGCCTCTGTGTTATTTATCAGTTTCTGTATAACAAATTACTACCAAAACTTAATGACTTAAAGAGCGTTTATTATCTCATAGAGTGAAGTTCAGGAATCTGGGAGCTCCCTAGCTGGGTGGTTCTGGTTCGGGGTTTCTCATGAGGTTGCAGTGAAGATGTCATCCAGTTTTTCAATCCTCTGAAGGTTTACCTGGGCTGGAAGATTCTACTGTCAAGCTTACCACATGGCTTTTGACAATAGGACTTAGTTCCTCACCACTTCAGCCTCTTTATTGGGTTGTTCACAATACGCAGGTTGGCTTCTTAGAGCTAATGATCTGAGAGAAACACATCATGACAGATGCTACATTATAACCTAATTTCAGAAATGACATACTGCCCTTTCCATATAAACCAACTTTGGTACAGTGTAAGAGGAACCCACCTAATTAATGGTGTGAATACCAGGAGGTGAGGTTCCTTGGGAAACCTCTTGGAGATGGATTATTCTAATCATCAATATTTAATTTTATACTTACCAAATGTTTTTTCTTTATTAATAGAGTATACTTTCAAGATTTGAATTTTTGATAATAGCACAATAATATACTTACTATATTCTATGTTTCTTCCTGCATTTCATAGGTGTCTCATCACCCACCAATATCTGCCTTTTATGTTAGTAACCGAAAGGATGGATTTTGCCTTAGTGGTAGTATCCTGGCTAAGTCCAAGTTCTATGGTGAGTTTCCTCTTCTTAAGAGTCAGCATTTTCTGGAAAGCAGTATTTTTTAGTGAGCTTTTATTTGGTTGGTGCCTTGAGATGTTTTCAGTAAGGAATTTTTATGTCATTTTAAGCATTTTTTTTACTTGGATATAGACTTTTCCTCTATAGTGTCGTCTTTTGTCCATTCATAAATAGAGGTATGACTCACTTTATATAAGTTTACACCCCATATGTGTAAATTTATCACAAACTCCACTTATTAAAAAAAAAAGAATAATGATTGCCCACTATGTAGCCCTTTTAGTACAGTATGTATTTCATCATCTTAATGTACTGGAGGAGTTGGTTTTTCTGTTTTAGTCTTTGACTAGAGAGAGAAAGAAGCCAAGTACATTTGGAATACTTGGTCCAGTGTCAGTTAGTAATGACATTTAACCTTACACCCAAAAACATACCAATAAAAGCTTTTGTTAAGTACAAGAGCAAATAGAAATACAGTAAGAAACTTTAATCTAAAAACCGTGACAATCTAAAGTAAATCATGGCTACAACTATGCACCAGTAGAAAATCTATAACCTTAAATGCTTTGATTTGAGTTTTAAAATTAATTTTAAATGGAGAAAAATCAATAAATTAAATTTTAACTGAATAATTTTAAACTTGAAAGAAAAAATAATCATGCTAAAATAGGAAAGATAAAATATGTCAACCAAAAACAATCTTTTGTTACCTTGAGAAGGTGGAGCACCATAGGTAAATCTATGAAATGGAAATCTAACAATAGTTTTCGATCCAGGAACTTGGTGTATACCTTTATTTTTCTTCAAGATGTCTTTTATTTCCCTTAATGTTAGTTTTATTTGGATTTGGTTTTGTTTTTGCCTAGTTTTATATTATGTTTGTTTCAAAGGGTGATTGTTTTGTTCTGAAGGATACATATATTTGTTATTTACTTTCCATTGCACCTTCCTGTCATCCACACCTATACTCTGATGATAGTGTAAATAGCTTATAACCATGAAGAACACTCTCAACTACCATACCATGATTGTTATTTCTAAAACATTACAGTCAACAATTACAGCATACACATTATTTTCAAATACATGTATAGTGTTTTTACTGGTCTAGACCATGAGTTTGACCATAAAACAACTCCATAAATTTCAAAAGACTGAAAATTATAGAGTATGTCCTGCAATCTCAATGAAATAGTATTAGAACAAATGATGAGATATCAAGATAAATTCCAAATATTTAGAAATTAAATAACACACTTCTAAATAATCCATGAGCCAAAGAAGAAATCACAAGAGAAATTATTAAATATTTTAAACAAAATGGTAATGAAAATATAACATTAAAAATCATGTGATACAGCAAAAGTAGTATGTTTAGATGGAAATTTATAATTTTAAGTTAGAAAAGGAGGAAGATCTAAATCAATGATCTTAGTTTTACCTTACAAAATTAGAAAAAGCTAACCGATTTTAAAGCAGAGGAAAGAAAATAATAAAGAGCATACCTCAGTGTAGAAAGTGGAAAAGCAATACAGAAAATCCTAGGAATCTAAGAGTTGATTTTAGACTGATAAAAAAAGAGAATGCAAATCAGAAGTAAATGCGCGGAATCACTATTGGTCCTATAGACCCAGAAATGATGATAATGAAGTATTATGGACAATTTTATGCCAATAAATTTGACAACTTAGAATGATATATGCAAATCCCTTGAAAAACTCAAGATACCAAAACTGAACCAAGAAGAAATATAAAAATGTAATAGTCTCAAATCAGTGTAGGAAATTGAATTAGTAATTTAAAATCTTCTTTCAAAGACATACTCTGGCCCCAGATGCCTTGAGTTCATCTAACTATTTAAGGAAGAAAATACTAATTTTATCCAACTTCTTACAGAAAACAAGAAATGAGAATACATTTCACAACTTACTTTATAAGGCCAGCATTTTTCAACTCCAATCCCCCAAAACCAGACATTATAAGAAAACTATAAATCAATATCTCTTTTGTATACTTGTAAAAATCCCTAACAAATTAGTAATAAATCAGTATTATAAAGGGTAATATTTGAACACACATAAAAGAATATATAAAAAGAATATGTATAAGTATTATGGGCAATATATTAAAAGAATATCTTAAGTGGGGTTTCTCTCAGGAACACAAAGTAGGTATGTCATCTGAAGATCAATGTAATTCATATTAATAAAGGAAAACTGTGTGATTTTAAGAAATGTAGGTAAAGCATTTTACAAAATTCAGTACCCATTCACAATAAAATCTATCAACAAATTAGGACTAGATTAAAGGTACTTATGAAAAATATATAGCCAACTTCATACTCCTAAAGTGGAAATTGAATAATTTTTACCTAAGATCAGGAGGAAGGTAAGGATGTTCACACTCACTACTTCTGTATTAAATTGTATTAGAGGTTTTAGCCAGTGCAGTAGGCAAGTTCGAAAACATACAGGTTAGCCCTGACTGGTGTGGCTCAGTTAGTTGGGTATTATCCAGCAAAGTGAAAGGTTGCCAGTTGGATTCCCAGTCGGGGCACATGCCTGGGTTGCGGGTTCGGTCCCTGATTGGGGCACATATGTAAGACTACCAATTAATGTTTCTTCCTCACGTGTTTTTCTCCCTCTCCCTCACCCCTTCTTCTCTAATAATAAGTAGATAGATAAAAAATTTTTAAAAGAAGCATACAGATTTAAAAGGAAGAAGTTAAACCATATACATACCTGCTCTATATAGAAAATTCTTAAGAATATATCAAAAACAAGTAAAACTATTAAATAAATTTAGTAAGGTTGCCAAATACAAGATCAAAATTCAGAAATCAGTTGTACAAAATGAACACTTGCAGAATGAAATTGAAAATACAACTTTGATTAAAGTAGTATCTGAAAAATAAAATATTTAGGAATTTAATGAAAGTTGTGAGACCTACACACTGAAAACCACAAAACATTGCTGAAGAAAATTAAAGAAGACTTAAATAACTGGAGAATACACTAGTTTTTAATATTGTCAAAATAGCCTGAAATGTTGACACAAAAGCATGGATGAATCTAAAAACCATTTTGCTAACTGAAAGAAGTCAAACACAATAAACTATGTGTTCTGTGGTGCCATCTATACAAAACTCTAGAATAGGTGAAACTGCAGTGGTAGAAACCAGACCAGTGCTTTCCTGGGGCTAGATGAAAGCATTGACTGCCAAAGAGCAAGGGGAAACTTTTGGGGGTCATGGAAAACTCTGTATCTTGATTGTGGTCGTAGTAGTTACAAAACTGTATACAATTGTCAAGGCTATCAAAATGCACACTTAAAATGGCTCACTTGTTATATATACTTTGTTATACTGAAATAAAATTGTGATGAGGGAGGAATACATTTGGGAGAAAAGCTAAAGGACAACACCCTGAAATTTCATCATTATTTTCATGGGTTATGCATTTTTTTTTTAAGTATCTATAACAATATTATGTCAAAAGTACTTAAAAGCTTGGGACTTAAGTAATGTGACTTACAGAAGAAATAATGTTTTTATTCAAAAATGGGCAAATTAAGCTATACAGTGTAATAGTGTTTTATTGCATGTCCTAAGTGTTTAGGATTTTTCATAAGAGCCTCATTTAAATAACATAAATGAGCATATAGCTATACTATTTTTAACCCTCACCTGAGGACATGTTTATTGATTTTAGAGAGGGAGGAAGGGGGAGAGAAAGAGAGAGAAAGAAAAGAGAGAGAGAGAGAGAAATATCGATGTGAGAGAGAAACATCTATCTGTTGCCTCCTGTACGCACCCCAACTGGGGATCAAACCCACAATCTAGGTATGCACCGTGACTGGGAATCAAACACTTAGCGTTTTGGTGTACGGAATGATGCTCCAATCAACTGAGCCACTTGACCACGGCACATAACTATACTTTTAAAAGTACTCATTTTACAAGAATGAAAGTACAAATCAAATATGTTTCAGATATAAGATAACAAATATATGTTTGGGCACATTGAGATTGAGACATTTTTATTTCTAAGACATACCACTGTAGATACCTGGTAGGTCTCCTAAACATATTTCATTTGTTTTGAGTTGGTTGAATTAATTTTTTTGAAATTTAACAAACATCATTCATTTCAGGGAACTCATTATCTGCAATATTAGATGGAGAAGCACGATTGACTTTCTTGAATAGAGGCGAAGATTATGTAATGACAATGCCCTATGCTCATTGTAAAGGTAGGTGTTTTCCATACCTGAGTGAGATATTCCTAAAACCTTCTTTTTAAATAAATGTATTTGGCTATAATTTGTTACATTTTGAGATTGATGAAGTCAGTCTTCTGTTTTAAAGCATCCTTGTTTTACAGATATTTAGTACTATTGCTGTCATCTGCTGAGTATTTCTGTAGTGAATTAATTAATCTACAGTGGACTTTTTGTGACACATACTGATTATAGTAATGCAATTTCATTTGCCTTAAGTGCAGGTTTTAAAAATTTGATGAAACTATCCATTATTTCAGAATCTTTGGAAGTGATTTTCATCTTCTTGCACCATCACGTCTTTTTAAAATTTTAATTTACTCTTTTTCAGTTTACCAAGTCCTTTAAAATTCTTTTCATCCTCATTTAGAAATTTCTTTAAAGTAAGTGTATTATGGTTTCCCCCATTATTTAGGATACAGATACAGATATTAAATTTGCAACAGTCCCAGCACCCAACTGGTCTGTGTACTTTATATTTATAAATTCAGTCATTCTGGCAGCCCTTATAAAGTAGGTTATATTATCCCTGTTTTATGGACAATGAAAACAAAGCACAGAGAGGTTACTCAGCTTGCTATTGCACAGCTAGAATGAGGTAGAGTCAAGATTCTGCCAACTGCACTGCTGTGCTGTAGGGCATCAGCTCAGGTTGTTCATTATCTGTACCCTCCTTTCCAACCCATTTCTTAAAGCTAACTATTTTTGCTAATTATTCTCTATTTTAGGAACTGATTCATGAAACTTACTTAATGTGACCTCATTTCACAGATGAAAAAACTGGGAGGGCTGAGAATCTTATCCAAGACCAAACCAGCTATTTAATAAGGATGCTGAGACTAACCTCTAGGCTTATTGACCCCCGTCTGCTGTCCCATGAATCATCCTAGTACTAACTGCAGGAATGGCCAACTTGTGGCCTGTGGCTAGATAATTCTTAGAGCTTTATGTGTGGTTCTTGAAATAGACATGAAGTGAAATATCTGAAATTACGAATTGATCAATATATTTTCAAATTTGGTATCATTGGAAAGAAATAAAATGATACCCAATACCATACCCAACTAGCACAAGGGGAAAATGTTTTTATAGCATTGCCCTTATTACATGGAAAGAAAGAAGAGATTTATAACCATTTGTGAATGAGTATAGGAAGTAATGATTATTTTCTACTCTGTGTATTTTTTAAGATGTGTTCCCCAAATCACTCATCTCACAAATTATCTTACAAAATAAGGATTCCGTAGCCAAGTAAGTGTGAGAAGCATTTCATAGTTTATTCCTCTGTTGGAGATGAACATTGGGCATTTGCATATTAAGAGTACCTTAACAGCTTATTCCAGGAAAACACTGTCTGTCTCTCTCTCTCTCTGTCTGTCTCTCTCTCTCTCTCTTTGTTTTACTTGGTCAAACTCAGAATTTCCCCAACTTTTAGCCACAGAACCCATTTTAGGGCTATTTGTTTGTTTGTCTTATGCAGTTGATTCTTGCTATTTGCAGTAGTTGTGTTCTGTAAAGTCACCACAAACACTGAATTAATAATGAATGCTGAACCATTGCTCCTAGGGGAAACACCTCAGGTGAGCCTCTTGTCACATTTTCATCAACCAATCAATGCATAACCTTGTTTCTGTTTGAAGACACCTTAATGTATACTGTTGATTCATTAACACTGAACTAACAGCCAGCAGCACTATAACTCATGTCAGAAACAAGCTTTGACACATATTTTCTCTGTAAGGTACATCACAGCCTTCTGTGCAGAGGAACACTAGATAGCACTTCAGCACTACGTGTGAGGGCCATTTTTAACAGTAAAATCACCAACAAAAATGTGAAAAATGACACTAATTATACTGCAAAAAAGGCACCTATTTACCACCTGAGAGATGAAATAACAAGGCAGAATATCACCTTGTTCACCCTCAACTGAGAATGTGCACATTGGACAACTCAAAATTTTGTCAGTCTGCCCGTGTCCGTGAATGACTGCAAAAGTGCTGTGGGTGGTGGTTTGGGGATTGCTAATATACAAGGTCCAGCAGAAGGAAGGCCTGCTGGAGTCTAGTTGGTAGAGTAATAATATGGGTATAATAATTTATAGTTTTAATTTGAACATTTTACCTAAAATGACCTATGGTGTGATTGAGTGTGATACTGTTACGTTACAAAAGTACGTGCTTCTGATTTTGTAATAATGGTGCGTTATTTGTGCCGGACCCTGTATTTTAGTGAGTATGTAAATTTGCCAGTACATAGTCTGCAAATAATGTGGATCAACTATTACCTATTTAAATTCTACAGACTAACTTTATATGTATATTATAGATTGTTATTGAGAGGGGTAGAAGACCCCTGCATTATTAGTTTCTCCTAGAAGAAGATTAGATTTTAAAGCTCTGCTTGTTATTAGCAAGTGTCTCTCCTCAACCTTTCGTCAAAATTATTATTTTTTCCCCTTAGGAATTCTTTATGGCACAATGACACTGGAGCTTGGTGGAACAGTCAATATTACATGTCAAAAAACTGGATATAGTGCAGTACTTGAATTTAAACTAAAGGTTAGTGGAGAATGATAGAAGGTATCACTTAATTAAAGAGGGGTTGTGCTATAAATATTAAACAAAGAACACAGTTTAGTTTCCAATTAAAGACTAAATGTAAGGACACAATTCATGAAAGGGTAGACCTGGGAGATTCAAATCAATACAAAACCATCATTTTTTATTTTAACTTTTAATCAATAAAATGGGTGGCATGAGATCAAAGAAGTAAATGGATAGAAATCCTTCAGTGCTTGAGCTATAACAGTGTACACTAAGAGTTGTGTTAGTTACTATTTCTGCCTAACAGTTTACTCTAAAACTCACAAGCTTAAAAACAACGATTTTTTGATCCCTAGGGGTTCTGTGGGCTGGGAATTTGGATGGGACATATGGGAGATGGCTTATCTCTGCTACATAATGCCTGGGGCCTCAGGAAGACTTGGAGGCTACAAGTGACTCTTCATTTGAGGCCTGGAATCATTTGAAGTCTCATCACTTAGTTACATGTCTGATGCCTGGTGGGGATGAGTAAAAGACTAGGCAGCTAATCTGAACTCCTGTATACATGGCCTTTCCATGTAGCCTGGCTTTCTCACAGCATGACAGCTTCAAGGCATCAGACTAACTACTTACAAGTTCAGGGTGCCAAGGGTAAGTGTCCTTGTGAGCAAGGTGAAAGCTCTGTCACCATCTGTGACTTTGCCTCAGAAGTCAAATTACATCGCTTCCACCATTCTCTATTAGTTGAATGGTTATAAACCTATCCAAATCCAAGGGGAAGGGAGGTAGACTCCACTTCTCAGTGGAAGATGGCAAGGTATCATTGAGGAAGAGCATGTGGGCTGGAGGGGAAAGGGTAGATACACATGAGACAAACTTTGGAAAATCCTGTCTGCCTTAAAGCTAAAGGGAAATATAAGACCTTTCACAGGTCAGTGATTGGTATAAGATAGTACATTATGTTCAGATAAAAATATTTTTATGAACTGTTTAATATTTATTATTAGCTCCCATGTTGATATCCAGCTGATCAGGACTTTTCTCTAATAAGAAGGACTTCTTTTAGGTATTATTATTAAATGCAATGTACTTTGTTTTTTTCATCTTCACAAATCTTTGTATGGTGATGATAATATTTGAAAATCATGACTAAAGAAGTCTTAAGTAATTAATGACACATTTAAGGATTAGACTGGAGCACCAAAATTTTGTCACTGAGGAGAATCATCAGTAATGCAGCATAGTAACTCAAAGTGTATTTCTTTTAGTTTTATTTTCTGGAGGGATTTTGGTTGAGTATTATTTTACTGTTTTATTTTGAAGGAGGGTGGTATTCTTTCTTCTAACAAATTGGTTAAATCCTTTAGGTTTACTGAGTAATTTTTGCTTCATGTATTGCAACATTGACAGAGTACAGTCTTGAGTCAAATGAGAGCACAGGACTTGAGTCAGTTATATCAGTGTGGTCTTTTTCAATATGTTTATTTTAACTTTACATAGTTTGGTTCTTTTAACCTATTTTTTCCATAACAACAAATTCAAATTTCTTTTTATTGAACATTTCTGACTAAAATTTGAGTCAGTATTTTTTACCTTTTGTGTCTTCAGCACTGTTACTATGCAGTTACTTTTTCTACTTTTTTCTACATTGTACCTAAATATAAGTTAAAAGCAAAATGTTTATTTAGCACTTTCTCTTTTAAAAGCCATTTCTAGGTAGTAGTGACTGTGTTAATCAAATATCAGGGAAACTTAAACTGGGAAAAGAAGTCTTAGCTACTTTGGAAGGCCATTGGGTAAGTATTTTTATATTTTATCTTAAAAAAATTTTATTCCATGGAAAAAATTAATCACATTTTATAAAGTCACTTATTCCATTGCTAAAATCATCACTATTTAACATAAGCTTCAGCTCAACAAATATTTTGGTATTGCTCTGTTATCAACAATATCTAATTGTAGGTAATATTTTACCTTTCCAAAACTTTCTATCAGGAAAACCAACTAACACTTATTATACTGCATTGTCTAAAAATGTTCCTCACATTAACTCATTTAATATAATAACTCTATGTGGTGGGTACTGTTATTGTCCCCATTTTACAGAGCACACAGAGTTTGAAAAATTTGCCGAGAGTAAGTGATAGATTGAGAATTCCAGCCCAGGCATGCTGGCTTCAGGGCTGTGCTTATATTACAGCAGAGTACTGCCTCGCACCTAGAAGGAAGGGGTGTTTCCAACTAGAGTCATAGTTCCTTTTCAGGAACAGGGAAAGGCTATAGTGGTATGTGAGAGCAATGGCTTTTATTTATTTCTCTATTGACCTAAATTCACATCTATGGAATTTTGTTAACAGAAGCTTAAATGAATAAAAAGGATCATATCATGCTAATCCCTAGGTGCATTCTCACTGTGAACATTGAGTATAGCATTTTATCCATTAAAATAAGCAGAAAATGATTTTAAAAATATAAGAAAATGAAACTGGACCTAGAAATTTAACTAGAGGCCACATACCCTCTGTAATTTTTAAAATTAACTTCTGTCTTGAATATCATATGGAAAAAAGATAAAAATCTTTTTTAAACTTAACTCTTGAGATCGTGTTCAAGTTTTTAATGCTAAACAAGGCTCTTTCACGTTTTTTCTACATATACCGAATATGTAAATAGCCACCTGAATCTCCTTGCAGTTGCAGCAAACACTGTGGTCCACTTTGGCCATTCTGAGATGGTTGGGAGGCTTTGCATATAATTGTTTGAAATTTGCATATTAAATAAAACTTGTGAAATCTCACAAACTTCCTGCGTATTTGTCAGATTTTAAAATTCTAGTACTACATATTTGATCTTAGTGTTTTTCTAAAAATAACAAAAGATTTGGGGCTTTTAGAAAAGTACTAGTTTGTTTTTAAAATGTGTTTAACTGTAGGATTAAGATTCAGGAAGTATTATTATAGTACTAACTATATGTAACACTCTTATAAATAAAGATGATTCTCTACCTTAGTGTTTAATTTTTTTAAATACAGGATAGTGAAGTTTTTATTAATGACAAAAAGACTGATAATTCAGAGATTTTCTGGAATCCAACACCAGACATTAAGCAACGGAGGTTAATAAGGCACACTGTAAAATTTGAAGAGCAGGAAGAATTTGAATCAGAGAAGTAAGTATACCATTTTTCAACTAATTTCATGATAACATAGAGTTGTTGTTTTTTTAATCCCTCAAAAATGTGGTTACTTTTCTCTGCCTTCAGTCATATTTTAATTCAGCAACATAGTTTTTGTGGAATATGACAGGATTCTGTTTAATTTTACATGAATGTCAAATAAATATAATACAAATCATGCTACATTTTTGCAGCTCAAAGTTAAAGCTTTCTGTTTTCCCTTTTTCTTCCTATCTGCTCTGGGGCCTAGTAAAATAAAAAAGAATTTCTAGTTTGTCTGAATACAATTGTAGGACTAATTAATGATTCTTGGGTTTTATTTGGCAGCTGTTTTCTAACCTGGGTTAAGTCATGTAGAACTAGTTGAAAGATACGGCACAAAAAATCTACTTTTGTTTCATTATTCTAAAATACATGAATAATGCCATTGGATGAGCAGGCTTCAAGAGGACTTATATTCGTTGGGTAATAATTAAGGCCATAGTTTCTGCTCTTAAAGTCATAAAAATTTTGCTAGATCTGTAATACTTTTAAACCAATATATTGTATACACACTGTCCAGTTTTATTAACTATATTTGTATGTGTTAGGAGAAGGGGGCATCTGTGTAAAAGACACTGTGCTGGGTACTTTATATACCTTATGCAATTTGGTCCTCAGTGCATGCTGCCATATGCATTATCTTTCTCTGTAATTGGATTCAAATGTTTGTGTACTTACACTCAAAATTGACGTTGTCAAAGATGAAAGAATATGTATAAACAAGTTCTAAAATTCTGTTTCATCTGTAACCACATAATGCTCTTCATTCAGAGTAAAGCTTTGCCAAGACATACGATAACTTTTGAGGTGTGAACCTCATTTAATGTGTTATAAAGATGAGGAAAACAAGTCTTAGGATAAATAACTTAAGTCTACCAGTCAAGAAGTGTCAGATCTAGAATTCAGCCCAAGTTTGTTTAATTCCAAAGCCTTTTTTCTTTCAGTCCCAACATGCTGTCTTCCCAGATTAGTGGAGTATACATATTACATTTTTGTTTATCTGATGTAAAACTAAACTTTAGTAGGAGAAGGATTTTCAGTATTTTTTTAGATTTTACTAAAAGTCTTCAGTCTTTTACTTGTTAAATCAGTGATCTCAACACTGGCTACACATTAAAATCACCTGGAAGACATTAAAAAAAAAAAACAATTAGGCCTAGTCCCATAGATTCTGATTTTAACAGTTCCCTGATAATTCCTGCATTCACGATTGAGAAGCATGGCATTACAATATTGGATCTTTCATGCCAGTGGACCTTAAGTAGTATGCACAAGAATTATCTGGGGAGCTTATTTAAAAATTTTAGATTCTTGAGGCTTCATTACATTTCTGTTATCTTGGACCAGCCCTATTCATTGTCATGTGTTTAAGAACCCATGTAATAAATTTCTCTTGCCATGAAAAGAATTAGTCTCCACTCTGTCACTCTACTCAAGGACCACATTTTATAGCTGCATTCATTTATGTTTTGTCAAAGACAAAAACCCACATGGATATCATTTTCTCTCAAGGAGAGTTCACTATTTAATGTAGATTTGATTTTCTATCGCTTTTTTATACTATTTTTGTACACATATTAGACTCTGGCAGCGAGTAACTCGAGCCATAAATGCGAAAGACCAAACAGAAGCTACTCAAGAGAAGTATATTTTAGAGGAAGCTCAAAGGCAATCTGCCAGAGATCGGAAAACAAAAAATGAAGAGTGGACTTGCAAGTTATTTGAACTTGATCCACTCACGGGAGAATGGCATTACAAGTTTGCAGAGTAAGTAATTATCAGCATAGTTTGTTGCCTTTATTTCTGAAGTGTTTATTGTTCATTAGTTTTTTATTAGACAATACATATATATGTAAAAATTAATGTGAGATTTAAACTTGATGTTCCATTTATTATAAATTTGACTCCATGATAGTAATTAGCCTATAAAATAAGCTGAGGATCAGAAGATTATATACGACAAATCTTAATCTTACAGCTCTGTTTACAATTACTAAAGAAAATCTAATCGAACCTTTAAAAAAGTTTTTGAGTGTTTTGTTTAGTCATTAATCAAATGGTATTTTTTTTTAACTTATGTAGTACTCGACCATGGGACCCCCTTAATGATATGATACAGTTTGAAAAAGATGGTGTTATCCAGACCAAAGTGAAACATCGTACTCCAATGGTATGTAATACAAAAAGTATCTAAATCTGCTAGGAATATAAATGTTTTAAATCCTTACTAGAATCTTTGGCCATCAGCACTTAAAATTTGGTTTCAAAATTTAAAATTTGGGGTCAGCAAATGGCAGAGTAAGCAGTTCTAAGCTCTTATTCCCCCAAAGAAACAAAGAAAAGCAAGCAGAAACTGTCAGAATCAAATTTCCCAGAACCCTGGAAAACATTTAGAGGTTTGCAGTAATTAAGTGACACTGAATCAAGAAAGAGGTGACCTCAAAGCCATAGGAAAGCTTTATGGCATTTTTACTTGCCCCGACCCCTTTCCCTTCCTGATGCAGTAGCACTGAAGGGTTCCTACATTCTCAGTGTGAGTCTTGGTTCTAGAAGGAGGAGAGCAGATCTTACAAATTGTTTTCTGCATTTATTATAACCTGTCTGGGGGCTACCTGAAAGATTTATGTAGGGCCCACATCTCTGTTTCATCTAACTCAGCGCTCAGCCAGGTAGGCCATAGGCAATGAGTGGAAGTACTGTAGCCAAACAAAACAAAACCGCAGAAACCCAGGGCAAAGATTACCACTGAAACATACACTAACTCGTGTAAGACCCAGGAACAAAAACTGGGGAAAGATTCTTTGGCAAACTAGAGCACTGAAAAGCCCCATGAGTTTGGGGAAATTTATAAAGCCGTGCAAATGTCCAAAGCAGGATATTTATGTTCAGAAAAAGACCTGAAAAAACACTAAGCTTTAACCTCAGACATGGTCTCACTACAAGCCCAGGTATTAATTAGCCTTTGAGTGCTGCTCCATAGAGTCAGTCTGCTAAGAACAGGAGAGTATTTTTTGTTTGTTTTTGTATCTGTTTTTATTTGTTTAGCTCTTAACGTTAAAGGAAATCTATCAAAATACTAGCTTAACACAGCTAAAGAACAGAGACTTCAGGGACCATGCACAACAAAGAATACAGTTTTTTTCAAAACTAATTGGGAAAATTCACTGAACAAATTTGACAGTCCAGAAAACAGCAAATGCTGGGGGATCTGGAGAGTTTTATTTCCAGAGTTACCATATTCTAATAAATAAACGTCCAAATTTCAACAAAGAATTGCAAAGCATACAAAGAAACAGGAAAGTATGACATTAAAAGAAACAACTAATTGACAGAAACCATCCTGTCCAAGCATCAAAGTTACCAGAAAAAGACTTTTTATTTTTTTTATATTGTTGTTCAGTTACAATTGTCCCCATTTTTCCCCCGTCCTTCTCCCCTGTCCTGTCCCACCCCCCGCTCCCAAAGACAGTTCCCTCCCATTGTCCTTGTCCATGGGTCCTTTGTACATCTCCCCTTCTTTCCCCTGTCATCCCCCTCCCTGTTCCCCTCTGGTCCCTGTCAGTTTGTTCTTTATTTCCATGTCTCTGGTTCTTTTTAGTTCATTTGTTTGTTTTGTTGATTAGGTTCCACTTATAGGTGAGATTATATAGTATTGTCTTTCACCGCCTGGCTTATTTCACTGAGCATAACCCTCTCCAGTTCCCCCCATGCTGTCACGAAGGGTAGGAGTTCCTCCTTTCTTTCTGCTGCGTAGTACTCCATTGTGTAAATGTAAATTTTTTTGATGCTCTCATTTACTGATGGACGATTAGGCTGTTTCCAGCACTTGGTTATTGTAAATAACACTGTTATGAACATAGGGATGCAAAGGTTCTTTTGAATTGGTGTTTCAGGGTTCTTAGGGTATAATCCCAGCAGTGGAATCTCTGCATCAGAAAGCATTGCCATTTTTGGTTTTTTAAGAAATTCCACAGTGGCTGCACCAGTCTGCATTCCCACCAACAGTGTACTAGGGTTCCCTTTTCTCCACAACCTCACCAGCAGTTGTTGTGTGTAGATTTGTTTATAGCCATTCTGACCAGTGTGAAGTGGTCTCTCATTGTTTTAATTTGCATCTCTGGTGACTAGTGATGTTGAGCATCCTTTCATATGTCTCTGGGCCCTGTGTATGTTTCCCTTGGAGAAATGTCTGCTCAGGTCCTTCGCCCATTTTTTAATTGGGTTGTTTGTCTACATGGTGTGGAGTTGTGTGAGTTCTTTATACATGTTGGAGATCAAACCCTTGTCCGAGGTATCATTGACAACTATGTTTTCGCATATGGTTGGTTCCCTTTTTATTTTGCTGATATTTTCTTTAACCATGCAGAAGCTTTGTAATTTGACGTAGTCCCATTTGTTTATTCTTTCCTTTATGTCCCTTGCTCTACAGGACATATCAGTGAAAATATTGCTGTGTAGAATATATGAGATTTTTCTGCTTATGTTCTCCTCTAGGAATTTTATGGTGTCACAACTTATAGTTAAGTCTTTTATCCATCTTGAATTTATTTTTGTCTATGGTGTAAGTTGGTAGTCTGATTTCATTTTTGTGCATGTACCTGTCCAGATCTGCCAACACCATTTACTGAAGAGGCTATTTTTACTCCATTTCATACATCTGCCCCCTTTGTTGAAAATTAAGTGATCATTGAGACTTGGGTTTATTTCTGGGTTCTCTCTATTCTGTTCCATTGATCTATGTGTCTGTTCTTAGGCCAAAACCAGGCTGTTTTGGTTATAGTTGCCTTGTAGTATAGTTTGATATCAGGTATTGTGATCCCCCACTACTTTGTTGTTCTTTCTCAAAATTGTTGAGGCTATTAGGGTCATTTATGGTTCCATATAAATTTTTGAAATATTTGTCCTCTATCTATGAAATATGTCATTGGTATTTTAATAGAGATTGCATGAATCTATAAATTGTTTTGGGTAGTATGGACATTTTAATGATGTTAATTCTTCCAATCCATGGACACAGTATGCACTTCCATTTATCTGTGTCTTCCTTAATTTCTTTCTTCAGTGCTCTGTAGTTTTCCGAGTATAGGTCTTTTACCTCCTTGGTTAGATTTACAGGTACTTAATATTTCTTGTTGCTATAGTAAATGGGATTTTTTTCCCCTAATTTCTGTTTCTGATATTTCATTGTTGATGTACAAAAATGCCTTTGATTTCTGAATATTGACTTTGTATCCCACTCTTTGGACAAATTCACTTATTAGGTCGAGTAGTTTTTTGGTGGAGTGTATAGGGTTTCTTATGTACACTACCATGTCGTCTGCAAACAATGACAGTTTTATTTCCTCCTTTCAAATTTGTATGCCTTTTATTTCTTTCTCTTGTCTGATCGCTGTGGCTAGGACTTCCAATACTATGTTGAATAGAAGGAGTAAACAGAGGTCACTCTTGTCTTTTGCCTGATCTTAGTGGGAAAGCTTTTAGTTTTTGCCTGTTGAGTATGATGTTGGCTGTAGGTTTCTTGTATATGACCTTTATTACGTTGAGGTATGCTCCCTCTAGTCCCACTTTGCTGAGTTTTTTTATCATAAATGGCTGCAGTGCTTTAACAGATGCTTTTTCAGCATCTATTGATGTGATAATGTGATTTTTGTTTATGTGATGTATTACGTTTATTGACTTGTGAACATTGTACCATACTTGGACCCTGGGATGAATCCTACTTGATCGTGGTGTATGATCTTTTTAATGTATTGCTGGATGCGGTTTGCCATTATTTTGTTGAGGAGTTTATTGTCCATGTTCATCAGCAATATTGGCCTGTAGTTTTCTTTCTTTCTTGTGTCTTTATCTGGTTTTGGAATTAGCCTGATGCTGGCATCCTAAGAAGAATTTAGGAGTCTTCTCTCTTCTGAATTTTTTGGGAATAGTCTGAGAAGGACAGAGGCTAGCTCTTTCCTAACTGTTTTGTAAAATTCTCCTGCTAAGCTGTCTGTCCAGGGCTTTTGTGTGCGGGGAGCTTTTTGATTACTGCTTCAATATCGCTAGCTGTTATCAGCCTATTCAGGCTTTCTGCTTCTGCCTGATTCAGTTTTGGAAGATTATATATTTCTAGAAACTTGTCTATATTGCCCCAGTTTTCAGATTTCTTGGCATGTAGTTGTTCATAGTATTTTTTTTACAATCCTTTGTATTTCTGTGGTATTGGTTATAGTTCATCCTCTTTTGTTTCTGATTTTATTTATTTGGGTCCTCTTTTTTCTTTCCTTGATGAGTCTAGTTAAAAGCTTGTCGATATTGTTTATCTTTGTAAATAACCAGTTCCTGAACTTAGAGATCCTTTGAATTGTTCTTTTAGTCTCTATGTCACTGAATTCTGTTCTGACCTTGATTATTTCCTTCCTTCTACTCGCTCTGGACTTTTAGTTGTTCCTCTAAACTACTTTGTGGTTGTAGGGATAGGTTGTTTATTTGAATTTTTCCTATCTTTTTTAGGTAGGTCTGTATTGCTATGAATTTTCCTCTCAGGACTACCTTTGCTGTGTCCCATAGTTTTGCACTGTTGTGTGTTCATTTTCTTTTGTTTCCAGAAACTTTTTTGTTTCTTCCTTGATCTCATTGTTAACCCATTCGTTGTTTAATAACATGTTATTCAATCTCCATGAATTTGGTCTTTTGCTCTGGGGTGGGTCTCTTGTAGGCAGCATATGTGCAGGTCATGTTTTCTTATCCCTATGTCTTTTGATTAGAACTATTAATCATTTATATTTAAGGTTGCTATTGATAGGTAGATATTCATTGCTGTTTTCCCCCTTTGTATGTGTGTTCTTCTCTTTCTCACTATTTCTTCTTCTCAAAGCAGTCCCTTTGGCATGTCTTGCAATGCTGGTTTGGCAGAATTGTATTCTTTTAGCCTTCTTTTGTCTGGGAAACTCCTTATTTCACCTTTCATTTTAAACAAGAGCCTTGCTGGGTTAGTAATCTTGTTTGCAGGCCTTTGCTTTTCATGACTTGGAATATTTCTTGCCATTCCCTTCAGGCTTGTAGTGTTTCTGTTGAGAAGTCAGCTGCTAGTCTTGTTGGAGTTCCCTTGTATGTTACTATCTGTTTCTCCCTTACTGTCTTTAAGATTCTCTCTTTGTCTTTGAATTTTGTCATTTTAATTTTGATGCA